AAAAAAAAAAAAAAAAAAAAAAAAAGTTAGCCAGGCATAGTGGCATATGCCTGTAGACTTAGCTACTCAGGAGGCTGTGGCAAGAGGATTGCTGGAGCCCAGGAGGTCGAGGCTGCAGTGAGCCATGCTTGTGCCACTGCACTCCAGCCTGGGTGACAGAGTGAGACCCTGTCTCTCAAAAAAAGAATTCAGAGTAGAGAAAGGTATAAATGGTAAGTTCAAGCACGCCATGTCCCACATTTCCTGCAGCAGTCTTGACGCATGCCTCATGAAATCTGCATTCATTTCCCTGCTCTGCCTTAACAAAGTACTGCAAACTGCGTGACTTCAGCCAGAGATTTATTCTCACAGTTCTGGAGGCCAGGAGTCTGAAATCAAGGGCTTTTTGTTTGTTTGCTTTTCCTGCGAAGGTTGTGAGGGAGGATCTGTCCCAGGTCTCACTCCTGGATTCCTGTAGCTTCCAGAGTTCCTTGGCTTGTAGGTGGCCTTCTGTCTCTGTCTTGACATCGTCTTCCCTTTGTAGGTGTCTGTATCCACACATCACCTTTTTATAAGGACATCAGACACACGGGATTAGGGTTCACCCTCATCACCTCAGCTTAGCTTGATCACGTGTGAAGAGCCTATTTCCAAATAAAGTCACATCCACAGGCCCTGCAGCGTAGGGCTTCAGCGTCTTTTGGGGAGACACAGGACAATGCATAACACTGTAGATTTGCAAATATTTTTGGTTTGGGTTTCTGGGTTCTATTTTTTTCTTTTTCGCATCAGATGGGTGATGTGATGATGTCATAACAAGTTTTGAGGAAGGCATATATCACAAATAGCATGGAAACCCAATCGTCATGCTTAGGTTTTGGCTTTTTAATTTTAATTTTAATCTTTCTTGAGGCAGGATCTTGCTCTGTCGCTCAGGCTGGATGGCAGTGGTGCAAATGTGGCTTACTGCAGCCTCGACCTCCTGTGCTCCAGTGATCTTCCCACCTCAGCCTCCCAAAGTGCTAGGATTACAGGCATGAGCCACCATGCCCAGCTAGTTCCTATTGTTTGTACGTTGCTCTTTTTACTCAAAAATATACCTTTGCAGCTGAGCATGGTGGCTAACACCTCTAATCCTCAGCACTTTGGGGATCCAAGGGAGGTGGGTCACTTGAGGCCAGGAGTTCAAGACCAGCCTGGCCATGTTACACCATGTTGGTGTAACACCATCTCTAGTAAAAATACAAAAATGAGCTGGGCATGGTGGTACGTGCCTGTAATCCCAGTGACTTAGAAAGCTGAGGCAGGAGAATCACTTGAACCCTGGAGGTGGAGGTTGCAGTGGGCCAAGTTTGTACTACTGCACTCCAGACTGGGTGGCAGAGCGAGACTCCGACTCAAAAAAAAAAAAAAAAGAAATATACATACGTATACATACACACATATACACACACACACAACACACACACGCACACACATACACACACAAACCCTGGCAATCTTTTTATATATCAGCATGCGCTGGTACAATTTAAATTCTATTGTAGATTTCATTTAGATTAATTCTATCTAAATACTATTCTATTAAGTTCTACAATTAAAACAAATAGTCAATGTATTTAAATTATTCAAAGTTCAAAAGCTATGGAAGGGTACAGAACTGAGTCTCCCGTATGGCAGCCAGTGGCATGTGTTTACTGAAATCTAAGTGAGGCCGGGTACAATAGCTCAGGCCTATGATCCCAGCATTTTGGGAGGCCAAGTCAGGTGGCTCACCTGAGGTCAGGAGTTTGAGACCAGCCTTACCAACACGGTGAAATCCCATCTCTACCAAAAACACAAAAAGTAGCCAGATGTGGTGGTGAGCCCCTATAATCCCATCTACTTGGGAAGCTGAGGCAGGAGAACAGCTTGAACCTGGGGTGGGGGCAGAGGTTCTAGTGAGCCAAGACCACACAACTTCACTCCAGCCTGGGCAACAGAGCGAGACTCCATCTCAAAAAAAAAAAAAAAAAAAAAATCTCAATGAATTAACATTAAAGAAAATGACAGATTTGGTTCTTTGGCTGCATGGGCCACATTCCAGGTGCTCCACAGCTGCAGGTGGCCCGGAAACATGGTCCTCATTGCAGAAAGCTCTATTGGTTGGTGCTGGTGCAGCCTTAAAGCCGCTCTCCCACCCCTCCTGAAGCCTACCGCTGTTAGGGTTTTTCTGGTGATTCCTTTCCGAGATGATCTATGCACACAATCAGCACATGGAGTTAGTGTATCCACTTAAATCAGTGTCTCCCGTGTAGTGTGAATGACCGTGTAATAGACCATGGAATGGAATGTGTTCAGCTAGTTTCGTAATGATGTGCTCTTGGGTTTTTCCCAGGTTTCCTCTCTCACAAACGTTCTCCTGTGAACGCCATTCTCTCTGCAGAGTAAATTCTTAACAGTGGAATTCCCTGGCCACAAGGTTTATATGTTTTTTCTCCTTTGTTTTCTCTTTTCTTCCTTCCTATTTTTTTCTTTCCTTTCCTTTCCCTCCCTCTATTCCCTCTCTTTTCCTCTTCCTAGCTCTTTCCCTCCCCTTCCCCCATGTCTTTTCCCCCCTCTTCCCCCCTTTTCTCTCTCCCCTACTTTTCTCTTTTACAAGGTCTTCTTTGCAGCGGCATGATCCTAGCTCACTGCAGCCTCGAACCCCTGGGCTCAAGCGATCCTCTTGCCTCAGCCTCCCAGGTAGCTGGGACTAAGGCCTGTGCCACCATGCTCTTCTGTTTTTTTCTTTTTTGTGGAGATGGGTCTTACTATGTTGTCCAGGCTCATTTTCATCTTAGCAGGTGCTTTTCAAGGGTTCTCACCCAAGGGTACCTGGATGGAACTTAGTGAGTCACTTGAAGCCCTTGTCATTGTGTTGAAGATTTGCGTCTGTCTCCTCCATCCTGGGGATAAGATTTAAAACTTCTATCTCCTTTTCAAGCAGATCAATGACTTTAAAAGGTATACAAATGTTGGGAGGCTGAGGAGGGAGGATCACTTGAAGTCAGGAATTTGGGACCAGGCTGGCCAAGATGGTGAAACCCTGTCTCTACTAAAAATACAAAAATTAGCTGGGCGTGGCAGTGCATGCCTGTAGTCCCAGCTTCTTGGGAGGCTGAGGCAGGCGAATTGCTTGAATCTGGGAGGTGGAGGCTGCAGTGAGTTGAGATTTCACCACTGCACTCCAGCCAGGTACAAATAGCAGCTTTAGACTTGATCCCGCAGGACCCCTGGGCACGTGCAGCAGTGGATCGCCCGATTCTGCCTCAGTTTCCAGTGTCTTCTCAGAGAGACCTGGAGTGGGGCATCTGAAGTCAGGGCTGGATGTCTTGCTGCATAAATACTCTCTCCACTTCCAGCTCTGCCATCAGCCTGGGTAGGGAGAAGACCCATGTCAGGGGAGAGCCGAGAGCCATCTTCCTCCTAAAGCCACACCTGCCTGATGGCTGAGACTTACGCCTCCTTTCTGGAACTCCCAGGGGCCCCTGAACTTCTCGTTGTTTGCTAAATGTGCAAGCATGGATTGCCTGTACCTCCCCTTGGAACTTCCTGCTGCTCCCTATAGAGCAGTCTGCAGCCTGGAAATGTTGATTTGCCTTTGGAGAAATTCTAGTTCCATCTGCCCCAGACTCATCACAATTACAGTAACAGCTGGCACTCTGGAACTTTCTGGAGCCTGTTCCAGCAGACATGAGGTTCCTTCTTCAAGTCCTCTCTGTAACCCCATACAAGATGAGGAAACTGAGGCAGATGAGCTCATGAATACTAAGTGCCAGAGCTTGAGTTAAACTTGTCTCAAAGTTTATGGGATTTAAGGTTGGTGTGGGAAGTGTTCTGTTTGGGACCCCCTCCCCTGGTGTGTGGGGGTTGGCTCCTGGGTTGCCTGGAGACCCCCAGCTTACACCTCCTGACCTGACAAATTTGCAACTAGTATTCTCTTTAATTGCAAAGTGTTGTGGTTTGGGTGAGAAATTCTGTGCTCACCCTGTTCACGTGCACCCTGAGGAAGCTCCGACTCCACCGCACAGCCTCTGATGCAGACTGGAGAGAGCCGGCGCTAGGATGCCCCTGTCAGCAGGAAGAGCTGCGAGCGTCTACATCCACATGTAGACATATCTGTGCACATACATTCATATACACACATCCATGTATATACACGTCTTTACACACATCCATATACACACACGTTCATACACACGTCTACATATAGACACATCCATGTACATACATTCATAGCCACACATTTGTATACACATACCTGTGTATATCTACACACACACTTCTGTATACACACACATCCATGTACAGATACATCTGTACACACATTCGTGCACACACATCTTCACACACATCTGTGGGGATCAGGGAAAGACAGCATCATTAAGTCGTGATGGTCTGGTAATAGCAAGTGTTGTTTTGACATCTTTTGGGTGAACTGACCAGCTAGTAGCCATCAGAGGGGTGTGTGGGGTGGGTCTGCAGGTTGGCGGGGACATCAAAGGTGGTATTTGCAGTTGCTCACGGCTTTTCTAGAGGATCTCCCGTGTGGGGCCTTGGAGTGTGTAGTGAGCTGTCCCCGTGGCCCACCTGCCAGTGTCTGCACCACTGACCCACAAAGTTCTGGCTTCACTGGCCTTCTCAAGGACTTTGGATTGTACTGTAAGAAACGCTAGTGTACCATCATTTGACGTGTCTGGTTACCACGTGGAGATCAGTTACCAGCAGCAGGATGGGAGCTGGGAGAGCCGGGAGGACGCTGCAGTGAGACAGGCGTGATGGTCAGGGCTGGAGCTGCTGTGGGAGCGGATGTGGCAGAAGGGGCTGACTCTAGTCACACTCCATAGCGACAGTCAACTGAGTTCCTGATGGATCTAACGAGGGGGTTGACAAGGAGAGAAGAGGAGTCCTTTGTATTTATGTCTGAGTTTGTAACACAGGTTTCTAATTTTGAGAAATCTGTAGTTTAAAAAATTGGAGAAGAGCTGGGCACAGTGGCTCATGCCTGTAATTCCAGCACTTTGGGAGGCCAAGGCCAAGGAGGGCGTTTCACTTGGGATCAGGAGTTTGAGACCATCCTGGCCAACATAATGAAACCCTGTCTCTACTGAAATACAAAAATTAGCTGGGCACGGTGATGTGTGCTTGTAATCTCAGCTACTTGGGAGGCTGAGGCAGGAGAATCATTTGAACCCGGGAGGCAGAGGTTGCAGTGAACCAGGATCCCGCCACTATACTCCAGCCTGGGTGACAGAGTGAGACTCTGTCTCAAGAAAAAACAAACACTGGGGAAGCCATTAGCTGGGCTCTCCTGCCCTCTCTCCGGTCCCAGCTTGTGTGATCATGGCTGGGCTTGCTGGCCAAGCCTATCCTCCCAGGTGACACTGAGGCCTTTCCAGGGCTGGAGTGATCTGCAGCCACCCATGGGTGGCGAGACCAAGCGGTTCCAGGAGCAGCTGGAGATGAAACTGGTGACGGGAGCAGCACTGTCATCTTTACAGCAAACCTCACACAGCAGGTTGGCAGGAAGCTAGCCTTCTCCGCATCACCGAGCCATCTGCTGAGTCACCAGGCCCACGTGACAGGTAGGAGATGAGATCCCTTGTGCCCCATCTCCTCTGTGGCCAGGCTAGGGTGTGGGCCAAGTGCCTCCTGATGGTCTCATCACCCCAGCCTCTCAATATCAACATCTTATCTAAGGATAGAAGCAGGCTCAGTGTGAGCCCCCGGCACCTCCCCCAACCTCCAACTGCCCCCACAAACCTTCAAATAACAGCTTTGGGGCTGTTTTTATTCTGACCCATGATAAGAAACCCAGGTAACATTTTGATGTAAAATACACTGGACATTTAAACACACACACACAGGCTGAGCAGGTGCTGGCCTTGGGCCGGAGCCGGGTGGCGGCGCCTGGGTGTGCCGCTTATGGGTTCTAAAAGATTCCAAGGTAAGGACAGGAACTGGGGCTGGGGGCACTTGGAGCGGTGGCTGTTGACCACCTCACATGGGTGTTTGGGAGTCATAACAGCTGGCCCAGCTCCACCTGTGTGTTCTGGCTGACCTTCAGTGTTGCAGAAGCTTCAGAAGGTGAAATTTACCCGACAACCCATGATACCTGGTTAATTCTTTTCTCGTCTATCCTATTTGATTTTCTTTCATTCTACTTTTTTTTTTTTTTTTTTTTTGAGACAGAGTCTCACACTATTGCTGGGATTTGATGCTGTAGCACAATCTTGGCTCACTGTAACCTCTGCCTCCTGGGCTTAAGCAATTCTCCTGCCTCCGCCTCCCGAGTAGCTGGGATTATAGGTGCCCACCACCACATCTGGTTTATTTATTTATTTTTCTTTTTTTTAGTAGAGATGAGGCTTCACTACGTTGGCCAGGTTGGTCTCGAATTCCTGACCTCAGGAAATCTGCCCACTTTGGCCTCCCAGAGTGCTAGGATTACAGGCATGAGCCACTGCACCCAAGCTCATTCTACTTTATTTTTGGGCCAAGCACAGTGTCTCATGCCTATAACCCCAGCACTTTGGGAAGCCAAGGCAGGAGGATTGCTTGAGCCCAGGAGTTCAAGGTCAGCCTTGGCAACATAGTGAGACCCCTGTTTCTAAAAAAAAAAAAAAAAAAAAAAAAAGAATACAAAAATTAGCCAAGTGTGGTGGCACATGTCTGTAGTACCAGCTACTTGGGAGGCTTAGGTGGGAGGATCGATTGAGCCTGGGAGGTCAAGGCTGCAGTGAGCCGTGATCAGTCTGTCTGTGGCCTGTTGTGCAGGGCATAAATGTTGGCTCTTCAAGGAGCCCCCAACCCCAAGGCCCTTGGGGAATTTCCGAGTCCCCTCTTTGCCTGGGGCTCAGGGTTTTGGTCCCCAGGGGCTGACCCTTTCATCTGCCTGCTCTCTGTCCCTGCAGCACTGCTGGAGAGGAAGGAGGAGGATGGATGGTGGGTGTCTGCCCTGGGTGCCAAGCTCTTAATGCCAGGGTTGGCAGGGCTGCGTGCCTTTGGCCTGCTGCAGCAGTGAGGCCAGCTCTGGACCAACTCCCTGAGGATGCAGTACAGCCTCTGGGGTAAGGCATCTCGTGCCTGGCTGTGGGGCAGGTGGAGGTGGCAGGGCCTGCCCTGTTTCCTGTGGCTGTGGCTCTGCGAGCTAAGATGTGCTGTCACCATGGGGTTTTCCATTAGCCATTCTGTGGGCTCCGAGTAGGACTTAGTACTTGCTCATTAAAAAGAAAGGTGTGTCTGTTGAGGGGACATTCACCCATCTCTTAAGACCTCCCCACCAACAGGTTCTAAAGAAGTGACAGGTGGAGCAGAGCACAGAGCCGGGGGGGCATGGCTGAGGCCAGGCTGGGCTGGGCCCTCCTCCTCTTGGAGCCGTGGTGAAGGGCTGCCTGGCAGAGGAGGGCAGGAGTCTCTGGATTGATCCTCACAGCTCAGGCAAAGCGGCCAGAGCATGAGTGCAGCACCAGCCAGAGGCTGCAGACAGAGAGTGGCTCAGACGGTGCCTACAGGCTGGAGCTGGGCCACAAGCTCCACTGCACACAGATCCCGGCCTTCAGCCACAAGGTGGGTTCTGAGGCCAGGCGGGACATCTGGAGAGAACACCAGAGTCAGGCAAGTGGTGATCTGAGTACCCTGAGCTCAATCCTGAAGAGATGAACTTGCTCCCAATAGCATAGTCATATAGGATGGATCCAGGGCTGGCACTTCAGTTTCAGTCTTATGTCTGTTCATCCAGGGGTGCTTGAACCCAGGAGGCAGAGGCTGCATGGAGCCAAGATGGTGCCACTGTACTCCAGCCTAGGCAACAGAGTGAGATCTTGTCTCTAAAATAAACAAATAATAATTAAAAAAAAAAAAAAAAAAAAAACGCCGGGCACAGTGGCTCACGCTTCTAATCCCAGCACTTTGTGAGGCTGAGGCAGGAGAATCAAGAGGTCAGGAGTTCGAGACCAGCCTGGCCAACATGGTGAAACCCCGTCTCTACTAAAAATACAAAAATTAGCCAGGCATAGTGGCAGGTGCCTGTAATCCCTGCTACTCTGGAGGCTGAGGCAGGAGAACTGCTTGAACTGGGAAGGCAGAGGTTGCAGTGGGCAGAGATTGTGCCACTGCCCTCCAGCCTGGGTGACAGTGCGAGACTCCATCTCAAAACAGCAATAACAAAATAGTGCTTTCTACAGAACCGCCTGGAGTGGGTGGCTGTGAATGGGCCCAGAGACTGGGTAGGCAGGGCCTCCATGGATAGTTCACTACTCATGTGTGTCCCAGGTCCAGCTCTGACACGAGGAGGACTCGGGCCACCTGCGCTCACTGCTGGAGGCGAGCTATGGGAAGCGCTGGGATAAGAGTGGCAGCAAGAGGCATCTCCGTGTCAGCCAGACCTTCAAGAATGACTCGGGGCCCACCCTGAGCAATCACTTCGTGGAGGTGAGCCCGGCCACTGCAGCAGAGTCGTGCCCCCACGAGTCCAGTGTGGATGGTGGGAGCTGGGAACCCCACATGGCCCTCTGGCCCTGGCTGCAAGGATGCAGGCAGCTGAAACTCAGCCTTGGTGACTTTCCCTTTTGCATCTCCAGCCCCATGTCCCCAGGGGTGAGAAATGTTTGTCACAGTGCCAAGGACTGGAAGGAGGGCTTGGGAAAAACAGATTTCCACCCGTAAAAATGCATTTTGGAAACAGTGGTTTGCTTTTAGTTTTTCCCTGAGGGTGGGTTCTTTTGCTGTGTTAGGAATGACGGTGAGCTCAGCAGCTGAGCAGGTGGCGGTTCTTCTATAGCACACATTTAACCTTGTACATTTATTTAAAAATTGGTTTAGATTTTTTTGCCTTTTCACATCCAGTCTTGCAAATGGTCTTGCTTTTTTTCAGATGGAGTCTTGCTCTGTCAACCAGTCTGCAGTGCAGTGGCGTGATCTTGGCTCACTGCAACCTCTGCTTCCCAGGTTCAAGCAATTCTCCAGCCTCAGCCTTCTGAGTAGCTGAGATTACAGGTGACTACCACCACACTTGGCTAATTTTTCTATTTTTAGTAAGATAGAGTTTCGCCATGTTGGCCAGGCTAGTCTTGAACTCCTGACCTTGTGATCCACCCGCCTCAGTCTCCCAAGTATCTGGGATTATAGACACCCACCACGCCTGGCTAATTTTTATATTTGTAGTAGAGAAGGGGTTTCGCCATGTTGTCTAGGCTGGTCTCAAACTCCTGACCTCAGGTGATCTACCCACCTCAGCCTACCAAACCGCTGGGATCACAGGCGTGAGCCACTGCGCCTGGCCTCACTTGAAGGTTTTGCTGAGGTGGTCGTGGGGTGGCGTGGGAGGGAATTACATCTCAAAGCAGAGTTTGAGAAACATTTTCTGTCAAGGGCCAGATAGTAAACGTCTCAGGCTCTGTGGCCGGAAGTCTCTGCTGCAGGTACTCCATTCTGCCGCTGTGGTGTGAAAGCAGCCATGGGAATAGGACATGAGCGTGTTCCAGGAAAGGGATCTCCATCCAGACCCAAGAGAGGGTTCTTGGATCTTGTGCAAGAAAGAATTCGGGGCTGCTGGTGCCCATTTTTATGGTCATTTGTTGATGACATGCTAAACGGGGTGGATTATTCATGCCACCCTTTTTAGACCATGTAGGGTAACTTCCTGACGTTGCCACCATATTTGTAAACTGTCGTAGCGCTGGTGGGAGTGTAGCAGTGAGGATGACCAGAGGTCACTCTCGTCGCCATCTTGGTGGGTTTTGGCCAGCTTCTTTACTGCAGTCTGTTTTATCAGCAAGGTCTTTATGACCTGTATCTCTCTCTCTCATTTTTTCTTCTTTTTGCAATGGAGTCTTGCTCTTGTTGCCCAGACTGGAGTGTAGTGGTGCAATCTCAGCTCACCACAACCTCTGCTTCCCAAGTTCAAGTGATTCTCCTGCCTCAGCCTCCCCAGTAGCTGGGATAATAGGCAGGTACCACCACACGCAGCTAATTCTTGTGTTTTTTAGAAAAGACGGAGTTTCACCACGTTGGCCAGGCTGGTCTCGAGCTCCTGACCTCAAGTGATCTGCCCACCTCAGCCTCCCAAAGTACTGGGATTACAGGAGTGAGCCACCACACCTGGCTATGACCTATGTCTTGTGTGACCTTCTATCTCATCCTGTGACTTAGAATGCCTAACCATCTGGGAATGCAGCCCAGTAGGTCTCAGCCGCATTTTACCCAGCCTCTATTCAAGATGGAGCTGCTCTGGTTCAAATGCGTCTGACAGACAGGCAGGGTTGTGTTCCAATAAAATTTATAACAACAGGTGTAGGCTGTGGTTTGCCAACCCATTTCACATCAGCCAGGAAATCTTTGTCTTCCCAAAGTCTTTCTCCAGCCGTCCTCCCTAGGCCCCCTCCCCACTGCCTGCCCCACCTCCTGATTGGTTTCTCTGTTTCTTCTGTGGGTTCCTTGTTGCACATATAGTTAGTTGGAGTAACTGCGTTTGTCATCAAACCTGCTCCCTCAAGAAGATCTGAGTTCCTCCCACCACAGGGACACAGGTGGCACCGATAACCCCACGGTGTGTGGGAGCCAGTGCCAGCTTGCCCCGGGCTGGCTCTCTCTGCACAGGGCAGTCCAACGTCTCCTCGGTATCATTCCAGGTCTTCATGGATGTTCACAACGACAGCTCAGGCTCTGAGCATTCTGGACACATCCTGATGGGACCCACATCTCTCAACTACTCCATGAGCTGCTGTTACCATGATGGGCACCTGGAGCTCTCTGGCCAGAGCTGGCACAACAGTGAGACTTTGCTGTGGGCAGGGTTCCCAGGTAGGGCCTTCCTGAGCACAGAACTGCAGATACATGATAAGGCACCCAGCTCATAGCCCCAGGACTGGGGAGCTGGCTTCCTCCATGCCTGGGCCAGCCAGCAGCCTCAGGCCTGGATCCAGGTGGCACTCATCAAGCCCAGTGTGGCCCTGAGCTCTGGGACAACCAGGACAGCCTTGCCCATTGATGGCCTCACTCCCAAGGCAGGCGGATTAGCTCCCTAGGACTTTCACAACCAAGTTCCACACACCGGATGGCTTAACATGCAGAAATCTTAGCCAGATGTGGTGGCATGTAAGCGTGGTCCCAGCTACTCAGAAGGCTGAGGCAGTAAAATTGCTTGAGCCAGAAGGTCGAGGCTGCAGTGAGCTATGATGGCAACATGGTGCTCCAGCCTGGATGACAGAATGAGACGTTGTCTCAAAATAAAAACAAAACAATCCACAGTGGATTGAGGGCCCATCCAGCTTGAATATGACATTATTTTCACTTAATTCCATCTGTAAAGAATCTATTTTTGTTTATTTATTTATTTATTTTGAGATGGAGTCTCGCTTTATCTCCCACGCTGGAGTGCAGTGGTGTGATCTTGGCTCACTGCAACCTCCACCTCCCATGTTCAAGCGATTCTCCTGCTTCAGCCTCCTGAGTGGCTGGGATTATGGGTGCACCAGTATATCCAGCTAATTTTTGTATTTTTAGTAGAGACAGGGTTTCACCATGTTGGTCAGGCTGGTCTCGAACTCCTGACCTCATGATCTGCCTGCCTGGGCCTCCCAAAGTGCTGGGTTTATAGGTGTGAGCCACTGCGCCCAGCCAAGACCCTATTTTTAAATAAGGTTGTATTCATAGGACAGAGAGCGAGGGGGGTGGGACTTCAATATCTCTTTTTGGGAGACACAGTTCAACCCATCATGGGGGAAAGATAAAAGCAATAAGAGGAGCCAGCATTGGCTGGGCACTTACTTCATACACGCCAGGCAAGTTGTGTACACATGAGAGCTCAGTACAGTACAGCTGTCCTCGTCACACAGGGGAACGCCACAGCTCTTAGAGGGGCCTGCGAGCTGTCAGAACCTGCACCCTTCCCCCATCTGACCTTGTCTCCCAGCCCCCAACCCCACCTGTTCCATTCCTTGCTATTCTTTAACACACCAGGCTTGGTGCTGCCCCAGGACCTGGGCACGGGATGATCCTGCCACCTGGAATGCCTCTCTCCCACGCACTTGCCTGGCTCCCTCACTTCTCTTAGGTATTTTTCCAATGTCATCTCAGGGAGGTCTCTTTTCCACCTCCCCATCTCCTTCCATCCCCCACATCCCTTCCCACCCTCTCCCCAGTTCTGTCATTTGAACACACCGTGTAGCGCACAAATACCTTTGTTCCTCATTCTTTCTATACTAGAATCACCAGAATGTGTGCTCCATGAGGGCAGGGATGAATTTTGTCTGCTTTGACGCAGGGCACATAGAAGGTGTTGAACGTGCATGAATAAGCCTATGAGGTAGGGTTAGGAATGTCATTCTCATTCTGCAGATGAAGAATGGAGGCTCAGAGAGGCTGAGTTACCTGGCCCAGGCCACACAGCTGGTAATGACGGAGCAAGGATTGAACCTGAAGCCACCCTCTGACCCCCAAATAGATTACAGAGACCTGGCTCTTCACCATTCAGGACCCCTGGGTGTCTCCCTAGTCCCCTAGGGCATCTTCTGTTGGCCTCAATTCTTTTTTTTTTTTTTTTTTTTTTTTGAGGGCCAGGTGTGATGGCTCACACCTGTAATCCTAGCACTTTGGGAAGCCAAAGCGGGTAGATCATTTGAGGTCGGGAGTTTGACACTGGCCTGACCAACATGGTGAAACCCTGTCTCTACAAAAAAAATTAGCTGGGCATGGTGATTCCTGCCTGTAATCCCAGCTACTTAGGAGGCTGAGGCATGAGAATCACTTGAACCTGGGAAGTGGAGGTTGCAGTGAGCTGAGATTGCGCCACTGCACTCCAGCCTGGGTGATAGAGTGAGACTGCATCTCAAAAAAATAAACAACAAACAAGAAAAAACTACTTATTTTTGGCCCTCAGCTTCCTGAGGGGTGAATGGAGGACTGGATCACATGAGGAAGTTGTCCCCAGTCTGAGCTGACCTCAGAATTTGTTGGAGACAGGGTGGCCAAGTGAGGGGAGGACATTCTGGATGAACACCTCCATGCCACTCTAATTCCCGAGCCAGGATGCCTAGTGTGGCCACCCCCAGCCAGGAGTGACCTCTTCCTCCTCCCATTGCTGTACACAGTCTGCTTTTCCCCCTCTCAGGGACACTTTGCCTGTTGTTAACATTCTTGGTGTCTCTAACAGCCGGGCTCCTCCCGGGTGTGGGAACTGTGTCCCCTCCCTCCTCTGGTCCTGCACGTAGTAGGTACATGTGGTTGAATGTTGAATAAGGAAGGAAGGAAGCATTTCCCAGGCCTCCTGCATGCCCCGCACGCGGTCCCCTCCCATGTGTTACCCCATTTACTCTGGACACTGTCCCTTGAGGCGAGTGGGCTATGCCCACCTTACAGATAAGGAAGTCGAGGCTCGGAGCTGTAGGGCTCATCTACCCTTCTGGCCAGATGGGAGGTGCTGGAGCCTGGCTGAGTATCACTTGGGCCTGAGCCGTGAGCTGCACCCATGGGAACCCAGCCTCTGACATAGATTAGGCACCATCTGTTTGCTCTGGAGCTCCTGGACCCGATGTTTCTGTGTGTAGCAGAGGGAATTTAAGTCAAAGAAGAAACTCCTAACTGTGAACCAGACTCTCCTCTTCTGTGAGGGGGTGATGGGAGGGATGGGATCCTCCAGCCAGGTCTAGGTGGCTGCAGGTGGGTATCAGTGGCCATTTATCAAGAGCAGACCTCATACTGATTCCTCTACAGGCTGCTCAGAGAATCCGCAGGAATCCCTGCAGAGCCCCTCATCCCGTAGTCATTCAGAAAGCACTCACTGAACCCCTGCTGTGTGTCAGGAGCCCACCTAAAAGAAATGGGGGTGGGGGAGGTGGTTGTCCTTCTTGTGGGGTGGCAGTAGGGGAGCAGGAACCTAGTGAGTGAGGCCATTACAGGTTGTGCCGGAAACCCCACGCCAGGGAGATGGAATGGAGGGTGCCTGGCAGCAAAGGATTGGGAGGGACTTCAGATATGCAGTCAGGGGAGGCTTCTTGGAGGAGGTGTCATTTCAGCAATTCAACTTCAATGAAAGGAAGAGCCACCCAGACCTAGATCCTCAGGGACAAATGATGACAGATGATGTCAAGGAGGCTCAAATGGGGTTGACCCCACCCAGCACCTCATGGGAGCCTTTCCCTTTCCTGCTGGTGTTGTGTTTGAGGGCCACAGGGCATGGCCCCTCCCGAAGTCTGGTGTGTTCCTGGGCTGGGAAGGGCGGTGAACCTGCTTCAGTAGCCCGTGGCATTTTCTGCCTCTAGAGACCCAGACCCGGGCCAGCGTGACCTTCCGTGGCAGGGACAGTGGGGTCATTGTGGACCTGGCAGCCCTGGTGGCTTGGCCACTGCATGGCCCGATGCAGCTGGTGGCCAATGCCAGCCACACAGTGCCTGCTCTCTGAGGCTGGGCCTGCCCTACTCCAGCCAGGTAAGGAGTGAATGGGGCAGGACCTCCCTCCAAATTCTGTCCCATCTGTCCAATTCCTGGGGTGCAGAAGACCCGCTGTGTGCAGGGTGGTTGGGGAGGGCCAGGCCTTGGGTTTCCCCAGCACTTCATAGTTTACAAAGGCTTCATTTGTAATTGCTATAACCAGGTCTGCTGAGCAGTCTCTGCATTCCCAATCACAGGGCTGGTATGGAAGGATACCCTGGATTAGCATCTGGCTTCTGGCCTGTGTCTTTCTGCCCTGCAGTCTTGAGTCAGAATCAAACCTCCTGCTTCTCCAGTGCCTGCCCCGTGCCCAGCCCCCTCTGAAGGATTCATGGGCATTTGATAGTTTCATCCTCCCAATGTCCCAGAGAGAGGCAGGATGGCCCCGTCCTTACCAAGGCTTTCTCCAGTGTTCGAACCCGACCTCTGCTGCTTACTGGCTGTGTGACCTTGGCCAAATTCCTTTGCCTCTCTGTGCCCTAATCTCCTCATCTGCAAAACAGGGTTGATGATATTACCTGTAGTGTGGAGGTTGTCAGGACTGAGTGAGTTAATCTCATGAATGCCTGAGTGGATGCTTAAGAAACACTTGCTGTGATGAAGAAGAAAAAGATGATGCTGATGGTGTGACAGTGACCATTATCATCATCATCGCCATCATCTCTGGGTCACATTCAAGAGTGTGGGTGACTTGCCCAAGGTCACCTAGCAAGCAAGCAGCAAAATAAGGCCTCAGACTTGGCACCCAGGTCCTTCCTCACAGGGCCCTCCTGTCTCAGCAGAGGAACCCCCATAGGGCCATGACCTGGCCACTGTCACTTGGCATGAACTCGCCCTGCCTGGGTGGCCCTCCTTCTCCAACAGCCGCAGAGTGTGTTCCAGAGCCAGTACTTCGTGGGTGGAGCACCTGAGGTCAGGAGTTCAAGACCAGCCTGGCCAACATGGTGAAACCCCGTCTCTACTACAAATAGAAAAATTAGCTGGGCATGGTGGCACACGTCTGTAATCTTAGCTACTCAGGAGGCTGAGGCAGGAGAATCACTTGAACCCGGGAGGCAGAGGTTGCATTGAGCCCAGATCATGCCACTGCACTCCAGTTCCAGCTTGGGAGACAGAGTGAGACTCCGACCCTCCCCCCCCAAAAAAAAAAGTACCAGCTCTTGAACCTCTTCTCAGAGACTCCGTTTTTGTAGGTTTTAAGTGGGAGCCCAGAATCTATATTTTTACTAAGTTTCCCCCAGTGATTCTGCTATTCAGCCAATCTGGAAGTTGGTACATTATTTCATACAATTTTCACAGCAACCCATAATAAAATAGAGGTCCTTATCGTGTTTTGGATTAGAAGGCTGAGGCTCGGGTGGTTAAGGAACTAGCTGGAGATCACTCACCACTCCGTGGTGGAGCCACACTTGGAGTTCTGTGTGTTTGATGCCCTCACAAGCCCAAGCATTGTCCTTTCTGCTAGACTGCCCCCTGCTGACTGCAACAGTACTGCAACTAGAATTTTTGCCTGCTGGTGCCAGGCTGGTAGATATTTCCAAGTCAGTGTTATAGCAGGGAGGGCCTGAGAAGATAGTTGCCATGGCCACATTTGATGGCCTGAACTGAGGCTCCAAACCCTTGCTTCATCAGAGTTGCTCCAGCCCAGGTAGCTGTGGGTCTCCTGGGCCTGGGGCTTTGGGAGGCAGACCTCATGGCTTCTAAGCCATGAGGCTTAGATGTTGGCTCTAGCCAACATCTGCTTAAGCGTTCCATCAGAGCCCTGATTAGGAGATCTATCATTCTTTTTTTTCCCCTGACCCAGCTACACTACTTCAAGTGTGAGGTTCAGAGCACGTTTGCCTTGGGCGTGGAGGAGCATCGTTTTCACATCCGCACCCGGCTGATAGCTGCTAAGGTCAGTCTCACCAACTTCATGAAGCTGGAACAGGCTTTCCTACAGGTGTGTGGAGGACAGCCCAGGCCCAGGGCATGCTGGGATGGGGGTGGGGGCTCCTGGGACAGCCCTTTGAGAAAAGAGAAATTGTCCTAATGTTCTGGTTCCTAGCAGGGAAGGGCAGGCAAGGCTGTGAAATGGACAAAAATTGCTGGAGTAGGTTATCAACTGGTGTCTATATCCATCCCTTCTTTTTGTATTATTTATTGAGCATCTACTAGGTGCCAGGCACTATTTTAGAAGCTGGGGTGTGACCTAAAATGGAACTGATCAATCCTTCCTTTCATTAAATGTGCACTGTAGTGGGGGAGATTAACTACCCAAAATCACACAAATATGCCAGAGAGTAGTGTGATATGGAGAAGACGCACTGAAGGAACTGAGAGTGGACAGGGAGCGTAGTTTAGGTGGCCAGGGAAGGCTCCACTGAGGAGATGGCTCTTGAGCTAGCCATGGATGATAAGCACCAGCCATTTGAAAATCTAAGGGAAGGCCAGGCTTGGTGGCTTACACCTGTAATCCCAGCACTTTGGGAGACCAAGGCGGGCAGATCACAAGGTCAGGAGATCAAGACCAGCCTGGCCAACACAGTGAAAACCCGTCTCTACTAAAATAAAAAAATTAGCCAGGCATGGTGGCACATGCCTGTAGTCCCAGCTACTCAGTAGGCTGAGGGAGAAGAATCTCTTGAGCCTGGGACGCGCAGGTTGCAGTGAGCAGAGATCGCATCACTGCACTCCAGCCTGGGTAACACAGCAAGACTCCATTTCAAAAAAAAAAAAAAAAAAAAATAAAAAGCAAACTTCCCACCCCACCCCAGCAGTCCCCCTGCAATGTCCTCAAGTGACCCTCAGACTATGGTATCTACCAGCAGGGACAGCAACTCACTCTGAGCCTTTGCACAGGCTGTTCCATCTGCCTGGAATGCTCTTCCCTGCCTCCTCCCCAAGCTTGCTTCTCTGCATTCTTTTCTCCCTTGAATGCCTCTGTGTGACCATCCTTGTCTCGTCATTTTCTGTCCTGTGACTATCTCTTTGTCAGCCTGGAAGCCCCGTAAGGGCCAGGACCAGGTCTTGGCTATCTTTGTGCCCAGGTGCTCAGCACTGGCTTGGGAGCATAATACATGCTCAGTACATGATTGAGAAATCTCAATACCACTGCGTGGCTCCTACAAGCTCCTCTCCACGATCTAGCCCTGGGCTGAGTGCACCATCCATATTATGTTGCCAAGGTTGACACTTTCTTGCCTCCATTGTCTAGGAAAGTGAGGCTCAGAGAGGTTGAGAAACTTGCCCAGAGCCACACAGCTTGGCCACAGAGTTGAGAGGTGGCTATTCTGTGCTGTCTCCACTTGGCCATAGTCCCCTCACCCACTCCTCTCCTTTATGTTATCCACTCATCCTTAGGAAGCATTTGGCTTTTTGGTTCCCTGACATATGTTGCCATGCAGGAAACTATAAATGATCCACAAATACTCCCTTTTTCCTCCTCTGCAAACTTCTCTCCTTTCCCATCCCAAGCAGAAGCGTGTGTCAAGTTCCCCTGTGACGCCATCATTCTCTTCCAGCTCAGCACTCTTCCCGGGGAGCTGGTCCTGCAGACCACATACGAGCGAGCTCATGGGACCTGTGTCCTGCACCACATGGTGCTGTGGAATGGTCAGGTGTTGGCCGTCACTGGGAGCCCCTCCGGGCCTCTCCCCAAGCCCTTCAGGAACCTCAGCCTGCAGGGTGAGTGTGTGAGGGGATGCGGGCAGCAGTGACCCAACACTCAAGAAATCATCCCTGGCTGGGCACAGTGGCTCACGCCTGTAATCCTAGCACTCTGGGAGGCCAAGGTGGGTGGATCATCTGAGGTCAGGAGTTTGAGACCAGCCTGACTAACATGGTGAAATCCCATCTCTACTAAAAATACAAAAATTAGCCAGGTGTCATGGTGGGCACCTGTAATCCCAGCTACTTGGGAGGCTGAGGCAAGAGAATCACTTCAGCCTGGGAGGCAGAGGTTGCAGTGAGCCAAAATCTCTGCGTTGCACTCCAGCCTGGGAAATATAGTGAGACTCCGTCTTAAAAAAAAAAAAAAAATCCATCACTGAGCACCTGCTGATCCCAGGTGTGATTCTAGGCATGAGGGATCCATCAGGAAGCAAGATGGCCCAGGTGTCCCCCCTCAGGGAGACAGTCATTGAGCAATGAGACACACATAAGCAAAATAACATTCAACATGACCATTTCCACACTTGGGAAAGACTGTGAGAGCAAGCAGGGTCTGTGTGGAGTGGGGGGCTCCTTTAGGTGGGGTGGTCTGAGAAGGCCTCTTGGAGGAGGTGGCTTCCAAGCTGAGATCTAAGGGATAAGAAGGAGCTGGTTGAGGGGCAGAGGCTGCGGAGAGGCACTTCAGGTGGAAGGCCCCTGGTGGAAAGCAGCATCACGGAGGCCAGTGTGGCTGGAGTGGGGAGAAGGGAGGAGGTGAGGCAGGAGGGCTGGGGGACCTGGGTCACACAGGAGCTGGGGTTTATCCTGAGTGCGACCAGGCAGGGAGAAGGGGCCAGGGCATGGGAGAGGTGGCATCTCTGGGCAATTGTGGTGCCAGGGTAGGTGAGTGCCAATGCAGCCCCGACAGCAGCCATGAGCCCCGGTGTCCTCCAGGAACAGGCATCCCTGGAAGGGGCTGTCATTTGTGGCCTGTGCAGCCATGCAGACTGTCAGTTTCTGTGTGAGAAACCCGCTGGGCACAGAAGAGCCTGACCCTCACCCACCAGGTGCGGAGAAAGAGTCCAGACCTCAGCCCGGGGGCACAGTTTGCCAGGTGGCCTATGGAATCCTCCCAGAGTCATGTTTGCCACATATGTGCCCTGGAAGGCAGAGGAAATGAGCAGGTCCTCAACGAGCCAAGGCAGTGTGCATGCATGTATGTGTGCGTGCCTGTATGTGCACATGCATGTGTGCATGTGTGTATGCATGCCTGTACAGCACATGTGTGTGCATGTATGTGTGTGCATGTGTGTATGCCTGTGTGCATGTGTGGGCATGCCTGTATGTGCACATATATCTGCGCCTGTGTGCATACGTGTGCGTGTGTGCATGCCTGTATGTACATGTGTGTGTATGTATGTGTGGGCATGCCTGCATGTGCGCATGTATGTGTGCATGTATGTGTGCCTGTGTGTGCATGTATGTGTGGGCATGCCTGCATGTGCGCATGCATGTGTGCATGTATGTGTGCGTGCATGCCTGTGTGCATGGGTGTGTGTATACATGCACGTGCATGCATGTATTTGTGCCACCCTTGGTGAGCCTCACAGCCTGCAGCCCCACACTGCGGTCACAGCGTTGCAGGTGGTGGGTCAGCAGGTAGCAGGGAAAAAGCTTCCAGCCCTGCATGTGGTCAGCCTCCCCAGAGCCAATGACTAGGTGATGCCCTGAGAACCAGCCGTGTCTCTGGATACGGCTCCCTGCAGCCCATCTGAACAGGTGGCTACCCTTTGTACAGAGCTCGGAGCTCACCACAGTGCAAAGGACCCATGGGCAGCCTCCTGCTGTGGGGGTCTGGGAAAGCAGGGCTGTGCAGGGCCCTCAGGAGGTGGGGTCAAGTGAGGCAGGAGGTCAGGGCAGCTTGACTCACCTGGGGGACAAAGGAAGAAGACCCAGGCTGTGGAGACTGTCTGTTGTGAGGACTCAGCTATGGGGTACCACCTGTCATAGCCCAAGATGGAAGGAGAGCATAGGACTGGGCAGCATGGGGGTGTGGTGCTTCCGAGGGGGCACAGGTCACCCATGCATGTGAGGCCCTGAGAGCAATACAGCTTGTCGGGGGTTGGGGCTGCACCCATTAGCTCCTGATTCAAGATGGTGACAAACTGCTCTGAAACTCAGCAGCGTAAAGTGAGCATTGATCGTTGCTCATGAGGCTGTGGGTTACCTGGGCAGCATTTCTGGTCTTCTGCATGTTCAAGGTCAGCTGTAGGGTGAGCAGGCGGCTCTGCTGGCCTTGGCTGGGCTCTCTGACCTGTTCAGGGGCTGGCTGTCAGCTGCACTTGGACATCCTCAGCTGAAACCAGGCTCCTTGCAACCCCAGGTGGCACCAGCCCACAGGCGAGCAGGTTTGTTCTCATGTGGCTGGGAAGGGGTTCAAGGGAGGAAGTGGGGCAGGGCCTCTTAAGGCCTGGGCTTAGAACTGGCACTGGGTCACTTTGCTGAATCCCATTAGCACATCACAAGGCCAGCCCAGGTCCAAGGGCTGGGGAGGCAGACGCCACCTCCTGGAGGAGCCATGAAGTCTCATTGTAACGGGGGCTCCCAAGTGGTAATGGTGACAAAGTGTGTAGCTTCCGAATTTTGTGAAAATTATCTGGGTGTGTGGCCCCCAAGTGGCCACCTGCCTGAGCTGGCTACGATGTCCGCTGAGGGTCCCCTGAACACACCCCACCGGACCTGGAGCTGCTGACCTCAGCTCACATGCCCTACCCTTTGTGTGTGTCCTCACCCGCCCAGTGGCGCTCACCCACCTAGTGCCCCTCCCCCTGCCTTGACACTGCAGCCTCCGCCTGTCCTCAGAGCATTTGGGAGGCAGCCACTGGGACAGCCTTGTTGTCGGCTGGGATGGCAGGGACCAGGTAGGCGTCAGGGCTGGACGGTGACCCTGGGGCAGAGCTGAACTCCACCCTGCAGGCTAAGAGGAGTCCCTGGGGCCCTCCCCTGCCCAAGGAGCTTTACCTGGGGCTGACAAGGCTGCATCATGTCCCACAGTTTCTTTGGAAAGGCAGCAGGAGACCTGGGTCCCCACAACACCTTGACAGGCACAGCAGTGACAGTGGCTGACAGGCCGAATGCTTACCCCATGACAGGTGCTGTGTGTCAGACCACACCTCAGCCTCCCATCTGCTCAGTGCTATTAATAGCCCCGTGTTCAGATGACGAAATTGAAGGACTTAACAGGCGCCGTGACCTGACTGGAGCCACAGAGCTAGGGGAAGACAGTGGAAGAGGAGAGCGACCTCCAGTTTCATCTCTGTCATGTGTTCGCTCCATCCTCAGCTCTCCAAGCCTCGATGTCCTCCTCTGAGAAATGGCTGTGCTCTACCAGAGCCTTGCACAGGGCTGGGTTTGTGCTCAAATCCACCTGCCCCTGCAGCCTTGGCCTTGAGGGAGAAGGTGGTCTGTGCAGGGGGTGGAAAGAGGTGCGGCCTGTCTGGGTAAGGCCCCTGGCTGAGTCTGTCCCCCTCCCCAGGTGCTGGTCTCCTCCTCCCCATGGCTGGGGAAGAGTGAGCTGGCTGCCCGCCTGGCCCTGGCTCACCCATTCAACGTCTCCTGGTGGAAGCCGAAGCCAGTGGCCTTGCTGAGAGCAGGAGTGGCAGGCAGAGCCGGCAGGTGAGCGAGGATGTCCCGGGCGCCCTTGGCGGGGGCGGGGGTGGGAGCGGGAGCCACAGGGCTGAGCCTGTGGGGCTGGGCCCCTCAGGTAGGATAGGAAAATGAGAGCGCGTTCATCAGTGACAAGGACTTATCCAGAATCACAGCTCCCTGAAGCCTGGGGATCTTCAGGTCCTTCATTCAGTTGTTTCTTTATCAATACTTCATTAAGCATCTACTGTATACCAGGCAATGTTTGAGGACAGCTCACATTTAAATGTGGGAAACAGGTACAGGTATCTCCAATTCATCATTTATAGTTGCTTGTTTAGTGGTAGCTTTGGGGACTGAGTGAGCAGCTGGGCGCCTCGTCTGGCTGGGTGGCCTCAGGCGTCTCCCATAGCCTCTCTGAGCCTTCAGTTTTTCCATCTGTGAAAGGGAGGACAATAGGCCTGCTGTGTGCAGGCAAAAGACAAAAGCAGTAAAGGGGCTGGGCGCAGTGGCCCATGCCTGTAATCCCAGCACTTTGGGAGGTCGAGGTGGGCAGATCACTTGAGGTCAGAAGTTTGAGACCAGACTGGCCACCATGACAAAACCCTGTCTTTACTAAGAATACAAAAAAATTAGCTGGGCGTGGTGACGTGCACCTGTAGTCCCAGCTATCTGGGAGGCTGAGGTGGGAGAATGACTTGTACCTGGGAGGTGGAGGTTGCAGTAAGCCGAGATCATGACATTGCATTCCAGCTTGGGCTACAGAGCAAGACTGTCTCGAAAAAAAAAAAGTCCTGATCACAGTGTAAGGGGGTGCTGTGGCAGATGAGGGTTCTGATGGTGGATTCCTGGCACATGCTCTTGCTAGGTGAGGGTCTCCACCTGCGGCTGGCCATGGGCATTCTCTTACATGATGAGCCCATGACCCATGAGCCCTCTCATTCCAGAGGCATCGGCCATCTCAGCCAGACAAGATCTTTGTAGAGGCCACACTGGAGCACATCCTCGGGGCCTCTTGTGCCCAGCAGAGCTTGCGGGGAGAAGTACAGACCAACTACGCATGCTGGCTGCGGCACTCCCTCCACCTGGGGCTCTGTGACCTGCCCAGGGTGAGTCTGCCCTGGGGAAACAGGCAGCCGGAGGACAAGAGACCCATGATGAGGGGGCAGCAGGGTGGGTGGTACCTGCAGAGTGCAGGGGTGTGAGCAAGGCAGCCAGACGCCAGCATGGTGGCTCTGCCATTTGCCTGCTGGGTGACTGGACAGGGTGCATCTCCTCTCTCAGCCTCCAGTGTTTCATCTGAGGAATGGAAGCAGCAGCAGGTTCCAGGATGTAGGTGATGGTGAGAGTTAAGAGAGATGTGATGCAGGAATGCTCAGCCTCGGTGTCTGGCATAGAAGTTAGAGTTGCTGTTGTCATGATTGCCTCAGAAGAGAGGTGTTGGGGCCCCTTTTCCTCAACACCTTTCCCCTCCTGGGGTTGATTGGTTCTTCTATTCACCCACCCATCTATACATTCATTCACTCATCCTTCCATCCATCCCCTTATTTCTGCTCTCCAACCCTCCCACCCTCACTCCCTTGCATCCCTCCATCCCTCCACCATCCATCAACATCTACCATCCATCATCCATCTACCATCCAACAACCATCCACCCACCATCCATCCATCCTCCCACCATCCATCCATCCACCTACCATCCATCCATCCACAGTCCATCAGACCATCCACCATCTATCCATCAATCTACCATCCAACAATCCATCCACCATCGTCCATCCACCCACCATCCATCCAACATCTATCCATCATCCATCCCCCATCCAACCACCCACCATTCATCCATGCATCCACCCATCCATCCTTCCCAGGGGCCCACAATCTTCTGTAAAGGGAAAGATAAATATTTTAGGATTTATGAACCATCCAGTCTCTGTTGCAACTACCAACTCCACCACTGTCTTGTGAAAGCAGCTATAGATAATACGTAAGTGAATGCATATGACTGTATTCCAGTAAAAGTATTTACAAGAGTGGGCAGTGAGCCAGATTCAGCCCTGAACCATAGTTTCCCACCTGTTATCTATTCCTCTGTTCATTCAGAAAACGTGTGTGTGTGTCACCTATGCCAGGCTGTGCTCTAGGTGCAGGGACTGGGTAATGAAAGAGACAGACCCGGTGCCGGCCTTCTGGGTGGTGCATTCCAGCAGGACCAGGAATATACAGCAAACTAGAGCTGCATGGTCTGTGATCAGGGTATGGTAAATGCTGTGCAGGAAGGGAGCAGGGAGAGGGAGCAGGGTGTTGGAAAAGGGGCCTCACTGGTGAGGGTGAGTCCTGCAGAGGGAAGGGGCCTGAGGCAGGATTTTGCTTTGAGGAACACAGGGCAGCCCTTATGGAGGGAGAGAGGGAGGTGAGGTTGGGAAACCTAAACAGGCCACAGGCCATACCAGAGCCTGGCTTCTCTTCTAAGTGTAGGGGACAACATCTGATTTGCGTTTTTTTTCCTTTCCCCCGAGACAAAGAGTCTTGCTCTGTCACCCAGGCTGGAGAGCAGTGGTGCCATCTCAGCTCACTGCAACCTCCACCTCCTGGGTTCAAGCATTTCTCCTGCCTCAGCTTCCTGAGTAGCTGGGATTATAGGTGAGCACCACCATGCCCAGCTAATTTTTGTATTTTTAGTAGAGACAGGGTTTCACCAGGTTGGTCAGGCTGAACTCCTGATCTCGTGATACACCCACCTCGGCCTCCCAAAGTGCTGCGCTTACAGGTGTGAGCCACCACGTGCGACCCTGATTTGCATTTCTTAGAGGTCAGCTGGGGCAGAGGCAGGCGTGGAGGCTGGGAGGTGACAGCTGCTGCTGCATTCCCAGCGCAGGGGATGGTGAGGAGAGGAAGCTTCCACCCCCTCCCCGTACCTGCCTGATACCCAGATTCTCTGGTCCTAGGCCCTCTTGGTCTCCAGAGATCACATCCTGGGCCGGGTGGGCTCCTGCTGTGTTCCCGCTGACAGCCAGGCCTCGCCCAGCCCCAGCCCACGGCCTACACCTCAGCCTGACCCTCCGAAACCACAGCAGGCCTCATTCACCTGACTTCTCCAGGGAGCTGGAGGTGGGTGGCCAGGATGGAGCTCACAGTCCCTGGGGAAGATGCCCCGACTTCCCTCCCGTTCCTCCCTGGTCAGCAGGTCCTCACTGCCTGGGCGGCCCCGCCATCTAGTGGCCATCTGAGAAACTGCAGACCAGCACCCTGGATAGGGCCAGAGCATCATTCTGGGTAGGGTGAACACCTGCTGAACCCCAGGCCTGGCCCTGGTGCCGAGACCAAGCAGCTCCTCCACGCCCCAACACCCAGCCCTTCCTGTAACAGAGAGGTAGTGTCTGGACTGCCCAAGTTTAAATCTGAGCCCAGATGCCTCCTGGCACCTGAGTTTCCTCCTGAGTAAAACGGTATAATTGCACTGGCCCTATCTCCCATGAGGTTAATATTGCAAATATTAAATATGTTCATAGGCATAGATTGCTTACAGCAGTGCCTGATGGAAAATAGCCATTACATAAGTATTTGCTGTCATTAGCCATTATTGGCCCCCTCTCCTCCCCCTCCTGCCTCCCAGCAGTCCTGGGAAGTAGGAAGGGGCAGAGTTTGCCTCCAATGCCTACTCTGCCCTGACTTGGCCATTTCATCCCAGCAAGGAACCTCTCTGAACATCTGTTTCCTCATCTTGGATCAGATATTTCATAGGGTGGTTTTTGGGGATCTGGATACCAGTTCCCACTGCCTGCATAGCCAAGGCACGTGACATGGCAGGTGCTCTCTTGGTGTTTCCATTCACCTCCTGCCTCCCTGGCCGGGTCAACTTGACCTTGTGACTTTCCTTTGCTGAGCCTCACTGTTTCCCTCTGTCAAATGGGAACATCTACCATCTCCCTTGTAGAATCGTTAGGAGGAAAACAGACATTTGAACAACATCTGCACGTAGTAGAACCTTGTGAGAAGGGAATTCCCTCCCTTCCTGGCGTCTGGAGCTGGATGAGGATGGCATTTGTGGGTTGACAGTTCAGCAGCCATGGCCATTTCAAAGGAGCTTCTCCTTCCAAGGTTCTTGTTCTCCAGGACTTACGGTCACTTCTCTGTCTCCCAGCCAGGCTCCTGGCTGTTCCCGGACCTGTAAGCACCATGTCCGAAGGAACCGGATGCCTGGAAATGAGCCTGTGGTGGACACTCAGCAAGTGGCTTGTCCTCTTGCTTCTCTGTCCCCGATTTATTTGGGACAGCCGTTCTGGTTCCTTCTCACTCGTTCCATTCTGGGGTCTGTGGAGTGGCCAGAGGCTTTCCCAGCCTTGTTTCTTCTTCCCCGCAACCCAGTGGCCCCAGGACAGATTCAGGGAGGTCAGGCACTTGCCCAGACTGCACAGAGGCAGGTGGGGCCGTCACTCTTCACCGATAGCCAGTGAGGGGCTGAGCTTAATCACGGGGAGCCGTGCAGGGCTGACTCTGTGTTGTCTGCACACTGTCCTCTGCCCCCACCTGCCTGGCAGGATCACACTGTGCTATGTGGAATTCCACAGGAGTCTGGGGCTGTCCCCTCCTACCAACTTGGGTCTCCTCGGAGAGCGACATGCTTCTGCATGTATGGGAAGCACCCTGCATTCAATTCCAAGAGCTACTGTATTAAAATGCCAACCGGAAGGCTTAATGCAACAGACATGTCTGGTCTCACAGTTCTAGAGGCCAGAGGTCCAAAATCAAGTTGTCAGCAGGGCCACACTCCCTCTGAAAGCCCTAGGGAAGATCCTCCGTACCACCCCTGGCTTCTGGTGGCTGCTGGCAACCCTTGGCTGTGGTGGCATCGTGCCAGTCTCTGCCTCTGTCCCATGTGGTGGGTTTCTCCCAGGGACAGCATTCACTGGGTGTGTGACCTGCCTTCATTCACTGTGGCCTCATCTTAACTTGATTACATTTTTGCAAAAAACTTATTTCTAAATAACACCACGTTCGTGGGTATGTGGGGTTAGGACTTCAACATATCTGAGGAACAAAATTCAACCCATAACAGACACATATGTGTGCGTGTACACGCACACACACACACACACTCTTAAGTCCTGCCAAGTTTTGTGAGCCATTGTTCTGTATGTTTTACAGACCTTGGAGCTGAGGCCCAGAGAGGGTGCCGCCCTTACTGAAGGGTGCACAGCTTGTTAGCTGCAGCGTCTGGACTAGAATACAGGGTAGCTGAGGCTCCTTCCTCTGCAGGGCCTCCTCCAGGCTTGTGTTCTCTTGGGGCCTCTGTGCCTCTCCCCAGCCCCATTCTAGACTCACCTGTCCTGGTCCTGGTCCCCACTGTGCTCCCAAGGCTGGGTGCCTGCAGGGATTGAGGTAAACTGCTCCGTGCCTGGGGTGTTACCCACGTCTCCTTGAACTTGCTTAGACTTTGCAGTGGTTCCCATGCAAACTCAGAAAGCCTGAGCTGTCGGCAGAAACACCAGGGCACTGGGAATGTTAGAAACTCAAGTGCCTGGGCCCCTCTCAAACCAATTAAATCAGACTGTCTGGGCGGGGCCTGGGAAGCAGTCATTGCTAAGTTACCCTGTGGCGGCTGCTACTGGGTTGGTGGGCTCCTAGATGGGTGTTGAGTTTTGTCTTGTTTTGTTTTTTAGACAGTCTCGCTCTGTCGCCCAGGCTGGAGTGCAGTGGTGCCATCTTGGCTCACTGTAACCTCCACCTCCCAGCTCAAGTGATTCTTCTGCCTCAGCCTCCCAAGTAGCTGGGACCACAGGTGTGTGCCACTATGCCTGGCTAATTTTTTTGTATTTTTAGTAGAGACAGGGTTTTACTGTGTTAGCCGGGACGGTCTCGATCTCCTGACCTCATGCTCCACCTGCCTTGGCCTCCCAAAGTGCTGGGATTACAGGTGTGAGCCACCGCGCTCAGCCTAATTGAATATTTTTAAAAATTTATAAATCTATTTGTTGTGAGACTGGCTAATTTTTGTATTTTTGGTGGAGACAGGGTTTTGCCATGTTGCCTAGGCTGGTCTTAAACTCCTGGGCTCAAGTGATCTGCCCACCTTGGCCTTCTAAAGTGCTGGGACTACAGGAGTGAGCCACTGCGCCCGGCCCTGAGGATTTTCATAGGTGCTTTCTGTGATGAGGCACTGGGATCCTTGGAGAGGGATGTGGCGTGGGGAACCTGGTGCCCTGGAGATCGGGCATGTGTATTGTACCTTCCCTTGGTTTCCTATAGGTCCGACCGCAGCTTCCCCAGCCAGCCCGTTCCTGAGCCTGGGGCTGGCAGGGGACAGAGACCAGGGGCAGGGCCTGGGCTAGGCTCCATTCAGGCCTCTGCCCTCCCCTTCCCAGCTTTGCAGCTCTAAGGCTCAGTGGGTCGGCCTACTGGGCCACATCTCCACCTTGGCTTCTCAAAGCCTGGTCCAGTTGGAGGGAAATGTGGACAATGGGGAGGAGAAAGTGAGGCTATCTGTGTCTCGGGAGACAGCCCCAAGCTGTCTCCAGGACTCTGTGGCCCATGAGGAGGGTGAGTGGCAGCTGGATCCCAGCTCTGCTCACTGGGTCATGGCCCCCGTTGGCTCAAGAAAGGAGATGGGTCTGGACATTAAGATCTCAGAAGTCAGGGCTGGGCACAGGGGCTCACACCTATAATCCCAGCACTTTGGGAGGCCAAGACAGGAGGATTGCTTGAGTTCAGGAGTTTGAGACCAGGCTGGGCAACACAGTGAGACCCCTGTCTCTACTTAAAGGCCTGGCGGGGTGGTGCGCTCCTGTGTCCCAGCTGCTGGGAGCAAGCTGTGATGGTGGCACTGCACTCCTGCCTCAGTGACAGTGAGACCCTGTCTCAAAGAAAACTCAGGAAACCCTGTCAGGACTGTATGACATCCCTCCCTGACTGCCATGTTGGGTGAGGCTGCTGGGAAGGGTACAGAAGAGGGGGCTTCGGGTGGCTCAACAGGTTGATGGAGGTGGGACAGCTCCAGGTTCTCAAGTCTTAGGGCTTTGAGGCTTGGCCTGCGGCAGCGGGGAGCTACAAAAAGTGGTGGAGGAGGAGTGGGCAGCTGGAAACATCATGAGTACACCAGCAGGTCCCCTTCTGGCTCCAGGGGGCAGAGAAGAGAGAGGGGTTCTGTGGGCACATGCCCATGGGTGGACAGCGGAGGCAGAGGTCCTGTTCTGGGATAGCAGGCAGCCCTTCCAGCCCCTGGGACACCTGACCCTGCAGGCTGCCAGCCAAAGCCTCCTGCTGGCTGCGCACGGCTGCCAGGAGTGCCTGCTGGGCCACGTGGAGGTGAGAGGGCCTAGGCTGGGACACAGGGAAGGGGTTACCGTTCTCTCCCTGGGCAGAGGCCACAGTGCCAAGGGCCCTGAGCCCTTTGGGTCCATCTGTGCCCAGAAGCCACAGTAGACAGCCCCAGGGTGAGGCCTCCACCTGCCACTAGCACCGAGACCTTTTGTCTATTTCACTCTTACGTGGCCCCGAAGTAGTCCCAGCCTCTTCTCTGTCCTCATGGTCCAGGATGCAGTGGCTGCCTCCCAAGTGCAAGCCCAGCTGGAAGAGAGGGTTCAAGGCTTGAGTGCATCTGTGAGAAGGTTCCATCACCTGGTGGGTAGCACAGCGGGGAAGGGTTGGGTGGAGAGCTCCCCCTCTGTCCTGGCTTGTAGCCCTTACTGGCCAGGCATCCCACCCTGGGCAGGAGGGTCTGGGGCTTTCTCTGCCCCAGACCTCACCCCAATTCTGCCTCAGTTTCCCTGACCAGGTACAGCCAGCAGGCACCCTGGATGGTGTGGCAGGCCTCCTCCTACAGCTGTCCCAGGGAGGGCTGGAGGCGGTGCAGGCGAGTGGTCAGGCGGTCGCCACCTTGTGGGGCCAGAGCCAGGTAAGGCAGGCACTGACCCAGCACCTCTTTACCTGGACCAGCTGCAGGTGGGGCTGGAGCAGCTGTGGAATGAACTGGAATGTGAGTGTGGGAGGGAGGGCTCAACCCTGTACCAAAATCCCTGCCCAGTCTGGGGCCCTAAGCCCTCACATTGGCCTATGTCACTGTTTCAATCAGACGGTGGCCTTGCTTCCCACAGGCCTGCAGCCCAGCTGTGTTGAGACCACCTCCCCACCCCGCCTTATCTCTTACAGACCTACAGCCTTGAGGTTTTTTTTTTCTTTTTTTTTTGTGGTTATGAGTGGAGAGTCTCGCTGTGTTGCCCAAGCTGGAGTGCTATGGCACAAATTTGGCTCACTGCAACCTCCACCTTCCAGGTGCAAGCGATTCCCCTGTCTCAGCCTCCCAGGTAGCTGGGACTACAGGCTCTCACCACCATGCCCAACTAATTTTTGTATTTTTAGTAGAAATGGGGTTTCACTATGTTGGCCAGGATGGTCTTGATCTCTTGACCTCGTGATCTGCCTGCCTTAGCCTTCCAAAGTGCTGGGATTACAGGTGTGAGCCACTACACCCGGCCCAACCTTCATTTTTTCGTGGACTGCTGTCTCAGGGTGTCCAAGCTAATATCTCTTGTGCCTGCTGCCTAGGTTTCTTCAGTCTTCCGCCTGCTTTCTTCCGCCTTTTTTCTGTGAAGCTCACTGCCACGGGGTCTCTTTCTGGTTCCACAATGAGCTCTCTGTGGCTGTGTGGTCTTTAAACACTCACAGCTATTACCCCAACTGCCCTCCTGGCAGGACTAGGAAATTCTGGCCTCTCCACCATCCGTGCCTAATGCCTGGCCCAGCACAGAGCCCCAAGACCCTGCCCAGTGCCAGGGTGGGCATCCCTCTGATGGGTTGTTGAATGTCACCTCCTTATCCTCTCTGCTGTGCCAGAGTCCCATGGCTACCCACAGGGCAGTGACCTGGGAGGAGTGCTCCAGGACGCCACATGGTGCTGTTCACAGCTGTGATTGACTACAGTGGGAGGAGGCAGGAGTGTCAGCACAGGGAAGGGGGCCAGGGCCGAGTCCAGGGGAACCAGGGCCAGCACCCAGTGTCCTCTCCCAGTCCCAGCATCTTCACATGAGATGCACTTGGCTATCCCAGCAGTATGTCACCCAGGGTGTTTAGTGGGGGCTGTCACATTGGCAGGTGCTGCTTGGCATGGACCACACTGTCAGACTTCTAGGAGGCAAGCAGTGGTCCAGCATAAGCCACGTTTGTACAAACAGTTCATGTGCAGAGAGCCTCGTATCACTTCTAGGATCACTTCTAGGATTCTCCGCCAATCCAAGTTCCCAGACAACCTATGAGCAGGCCTTGCAGAGGCGGCTCGGGTCTGCTGTGACAACTTGCCTGCAGTCACCACTGCCTGCTGCTCTATTTCTTTTCCCCCACTCCCCCCATCTTAATCCCAGGAACAGGCCCTATCTCCTTGAGGCCTGGGCTTGTTCTCCGAGCTGCCCAGAGGCCTCATGGTGGGTGGTGGCTGCCCGTTGCAGGGCCCCTGGCCACACTGAAGGACACCTACCTGGAGGTAACACTGCGGGCCCTGGAGGAGGTGTGGCGGGAGCAGGCAGAGGAGGCCATGTGGTGGCTGCAGGCCTGGGTGCCTGGGATGCCAGGCAACAGGGGTCCCAGGCCCATCAGGGCAGCCCTGGGGGCCGTGAAAGGTACCCTGGAGCTGGTGAGTGAGGGCAAGGATGGGGCGTGGGTGGCAGTTGAGGACAACTGTGACAGCTCTCACTGTCCCCTCCCTCTCCAGGTGGCCCAACAGATGCTATCCTGGGCTGAGGCCACATTCTCAAGGGCACTGAAGAGGCTCTGCAAACCCCTGCTAGACCTGTACAGCCTCGCAGCCAGGTAACGCAGGGTTGGGAGTGGCGCGTTCGGCGTTCCTGCCACACATCAGGTGCAGTGCTGAATGCTTCAACATGCTCTGACTCACTGACTCCTCTGACCGCCCTGCACAGAGGCTTCTTCACTCCCCATTTCACAGAAGAGGAGGCTGTGCTTTCTTCCTTACTCCATAGAGACCCCGTGAGCACTGTCCCAGTGCAGACAGGATTTTAGGAGCTGCAGAGGAATGCAGCAGGCGAGGCTGACCCCTGCCTTCAGGAAGCTCACTTTTACTCAGAGACAGACATGACACACAAAAAATCATCCACAGCAGGGTGTGCACAACTCCCTGCAGAGAGCCTGGGTCACCTCTTAAGCAGGCCATTCTGCTCTGTCACATTTCCTTGCTTTCGTTTTGTAATCATTTTTTTTTTTTTTTTTTTTTTGAGATGGAGTCTCGCTCTGTTGCCCAGGCTGGAGTGCAGTGGTATGATCTCAGCACATTGCAACCTCTGCCTCCTGAGTTCAAGCAATTATCCTGCCTCAGCCTTCCGAGTTTCTGGGACTGCAGGCATGTGCACTGCCGCACCTGGCTAATTTTTTGCATTTTTAGTAGAGAGAGGGTTTTGCCACTCCTGGCTCAAACTCCTGACCTTAGGTGATGCACCCACCTTGGCCTTCCAAAGTGTTGGGATTACAGGCATGAGCCACCACACCCAGCCTGCTTTGTAATCTTTTAAACACACAAAAGCCCTTCTTTCTTGCAGGCTGTGCAGAAGCCGGCTACAGGCTGGGCATGGTCCACTGGTCATCATTTATCACCAATGAACGATACATTAGGTGGCAAATGCTAGAGAAGGAACATTGGTGAGATGGTGGGCAGGAGGATCCTATGGTGTGGCCATGGCCGGCTTTGAGAAGAAGGTACAGTGTGAGCAAGAGCCATGCAGCCAGCGTGGGAGGAGAGCTGTAGGTGGGGGCACCACCTCACAGAGGCCTGGGAGAGGGATGTGTCTGGTCTGTTTGTTTTTAAGATGGAGTCTCGTTCTCTGTCACCCAGGCTTGAGTGCAGTGGTGTGATTTCAGCTCACTGCAACCTCTGCCTCTCAAATTCAAGTGGTTCTCCTGCCTCAGCCTCCCATGTAGCTGGGGTTAACAGGCATGTGCCATCATACCCAGCTAATTTTTGTATTTTGACTAGAGGCGGGATTTCACCGTATTAGCCAGGCTGCTCTCAGACTCCTGGGCTCCAGACACTCGGCCTTCCAAAGTGCTGGGATTACCGGCACGAGCCGCCATGCATGCCCTGGCCTGTTTGAAAAGCAAGCTGGCGGGGCTGAAACAGAATGTGAGCAAGGGTGAGTGGATGCAACTGGGAGGGACTGGGATGTCCCAAGGCTGGGGGATGGGGGGAGGGCTCTGGCTTCTGCTGTGACCTAGGAAGGACGTGATCACCCTTTCACTTCAAAAGGCCCCTTTGGTTCTGTGTTGAGAACACGGGTGTGGTGGATAGAAGTGGGGAACCCAGTCTAGAGCAGGGGCTTGGGGACCAGTATCCTTTTCCCTCCCAGGCACGTGGCCCACCAGGAACTGGGCTCCAGGCAGAGAGGCAGCCCCCTTCTTCCACGCTGCTGGCAAGATTCCTCTGCATCGGCTCTGTGTGCCTCAGTTTCCCCAGCTGTAGAATAGGGACTAAACCCACATCGTGGGGAAAAGGCTCCATGTAACACAAGTTCCTGCTCCTGCTGCTTGTGGTCAGAATGTAGGCTGAGGAAGGGAAGAGCTCCCACGGTGGGGCTTTGGCTTGGTTGAAGAATCACCTGCCTGGTTATTTGCCTACCTGGTGAGTGAGATCTGGTGGAGGTGTCAAAAAATGGATTCAACTGGCAGGGAGGGCATTCAGGCTGCTTCCCACCTTCAGCTGCAGAGCCTCGGGGCTCCCCAGAAGGTAAGTGAGGCCACCTGCCCCTGCACCCCCTCCACTGGCCTATCAGAAACAGTGTGCAACATTCCTCTTCCCACTTCACCACCATGTGAGCCGAGATCTCCCTGATCATTCAGATCTCACAGGCTTGACCCCTACTCTACATATTGAGAAAGTTCCAGTCTTCCCTTCAACTGTAGAAATTTCCTAGACCTGTTGGTCGGGCATAATAGTTCACACCTGTAATCCCAGCACTTTGGGAGGCCAAGATGGGCAGATCACTTGAGGCTGGGAGTTTGAGACCAGCCCGGCCAACATGGTGAAACCCTGACTCTGCTAAAAATACAAAAATTAGCTGGGCATGGCAGTGAGTGCCTGTAGTTCCAGCTACTCCAGAGGCTGAGACAGGAGACTCACTTAAACCCAGGAAGCAGAGGTCGCAGAGTCAAAATCGTACCACTATACTCCAGCCTGGGCAACAGAATGAGATTCTGTCTCAAAAAGCAAACCAAAGCAATTTCCTAGACCTTCCAGCTCCTGTCTTTGGCATCTCCACACGTAGACCCCATGCTGCCCAAGACCCAGGGGACAGAGCAGGCATGACATCAGACACCTGTGTCCTCAAAATAGGGCAGCTTGTTTCTGTACTGGCCTTGCCCCCCACCTCTGCTGTCATGCCGGCCTCTGTTCTTCTCCACTGCATTATGGGATTTCCTAGAACAAGGACAGCCCCTCTCTGAGAGGCATGCCCATGCTCTCCACAGCAGAGCTCTTCTTGCAGACCTGTGAGCTCCCTTTCTGCAGCCAAAGAAAGCATGGCTCGGCCAGGCACAGCGACTTGTCCTGTGCGTTCCCTCTAGGAACTACTCAGTGGTGGTGATGCTGCCACTGCTGCCTCAGGGGGATGAGCCCCTGGACGTGGCCCAAGTGACCAGCTACCTGGTGGAAGAGAAGCTGCTGTGGCTGCTCCAAGAGCTGTCCGGGGCTAATGTGCTGGCCGAGTTCTGCCGGCTCAGACGTCGCCTGCTGCAGGGTCCCTGGGAGTGTGAGTCCTGCCCTGGGCTGTACTGCCCTCCTCCCCATGGGCACAGCAGCAGGGCCATGCAGAAGCAGGTACTGTGGGGGCACAGGCAAGCCTGCAGAGGCTCGTGGCATCACAGTGCCAGGCCCAGAGCTTACTGGACTTCCCAAGGTCCTATGGGACTGGGGCTGAGGCTGCACATCCTGCTTTTGTCCAGAATACAAGGCCTGGCCCAGCAGAGGAGTATAGCAGGCAGCTTAGGGCTTCAGGCCAGCTCCTTCCCTGTGGGCTCTGCTGGAGCAGAAAGCAGATCTCCCGTTGCAGCTGGAAGGGCATTAATTGAATTCAGACTCACCAGTCAGGGGCGACCTGCAGCAACAGTGGTGCTGGGATGACCAGCCCTGGCTCTGGGCTCCTGGGGAGCTTGCGTGTGGCTCAGGTGAGTCTGCTAACCTCTGTAGACTCAGCTTCCTCCACTGTGAAATGTAAGTAACCACATGGCTCGCTCACATGGGTAAGGAGCATGTACAGTTCTTAATGCATGAGGGAGCCCCTCATGTCCGTGGGGGAGCCAGAGTACCCAGGCTTGGCAAGGTGTGGTTTATCTGTGTGGGACTCACACAGACGGCTAGGGCTCCCTAGAAGCGTGGGTGCAGTCATGTCTAAGCAGCACGCCAATGTTGTAGAAAACACCCTGGTCTTCAAGTTCTGTGTGTGTGACCATAGGCTTCTCTGTACTCCTGAGTTCTGACAGCTGAGCACGGGGCGGTAGTGCCTCCCTCAGGATGCTGGCCCTGGCCATCATGTGCCTGGCTGTGCACCATAGATGGTGCTTCCCCGCCATGGGCATGAGCACCCCCAAGGCACAGCTCAGGGGCCGCACTGGCTAGACTGGTCAGACCTGCTCCTTCAAGGGCCATCTCTTCCCTTCCCTGATGAGGGCCAGTCTGCAGGCCGCTGCTCTCATGTTTGAGGGAGCTGTTGACCATCCTCTTAAACAGTCAATGTTTTTTCCCACAGTAGCTGCCTTGAGATTAAATGGATGACTTGTATAATCTGTGATTTTTTTTTTTTTTTTGAGACTAGGTCTCACTTTGTTGTCATGGCTGGAGTGCAGTGGTGCTATCTCGGCTCACTGCACCCTTGACCTCCTGGGTTCAAGTGATCCTCCTGCCTCAACCCTGCAAAGTGCTGGGATGGCTTAGTGCTGCCATGCCTGGCTGATCTGTGAATTTCAAGTGCACGATTCAGCGGCTTCGAGTTTATTCAGAGTTGTGCATGCCTCACCACAGTTGATTTTAAAACATATTTATCATCCTAAAATGAAATGTTGCAGCTTCCAATCTGCCTGCTGTGTCCATGGCTGTGCCTGCTCTGGATATTTGATGTAAACGGAAGCATAGAACACGTGGCCCGTGAGCCAGGCTTTGTTACTTAGCACAGCATTTTTGTAGCAGGTCTCAAGACTCCATTCCTTGTTAGGGCTGAATTGGCCATAGACTTTCAGCTCATGTCATCTTGAAGCTGGTGGGGGATCGCTGGGCCTCTGGCTGCTGCACCAGGGGAGGAGGAACTCCTGGCCTCAGGGCAGGCTAAGCTGGGGCTCTAGGCATCAGGGTGCCCAGCAGGCACTGGGCTCCCACTGCGGTGGGTGGAGCTGGCCCCACTCACCCTGCCTTTGGGGCTGCTTCTCCCCAGACCATGCCCTGGTGGCCGGGGCCCAGCATGTGGTGACCTTCGACGGCCAGGTGTGGGACCTCAGCGCTCAGTGCGGCAGCGTCCTGCTGGCCCAAAACTTTGCTCACAACACATTCACCCTGATGCTCAGTCGGACAGGCTTGGGGCTCACAGCCCTGACCGTGGAGCTGAACCACATGACCCTCATCTTCTACCACAGCCTGCAGGTGAGGAGAGGCCCGAGGCTTCTCCCGGAGATCTGTGCCTATGGCAGTTTGCTTGGGGGGATGGCACTTTCAAGCTTGTCCCCTGGCTGTGGTTCAGCCCTCCTGCCCATCCCCTCTGGCCCACAGGCTTACAGGCTGTACAACTCCTCCCTGCCGGGGGAGAGCTGTCCAGACCTCCAGCTGTGTCCTGCCATGACAAAGGAGGGATGCCCCCAGGATTGAGCTGGCCAGTGAGGACAGAATGTCTGTCTCCTATGACATGCCCACCAGCCTCTGCAGCCTGACTCTGGGCCTCTGGCACCATGGTAAGTCTGGGCCCCAGCAGGGTTGGCCCCACCAACAAGGGCCTCTTCAGGATGCACCATTCTCAGCTTCCAGTGCAGAGGTCCCCAGGCTGTAGGTGGTGACTGTGGATACAGAGCCTCTGCTGGCCTTGTCTCCAGCACTGCAGCATGCTACTGACCTTGTGTCCAGATGATTGAACAGAGGCCCAGGGCTTTCTGCCCCTGTCCCTGGGATATGTGGCTCCAGGGTAGAGTTGGGCCTTCTGTGGTCCCTTTGCCAAGGAACACAAAGGAAGGGCCTGGATTCTGGCCACTTGAGCTGAGAATGTGGGGAGGGGACGGAGGTCGGGGGGACACATGCTGCCCTCTGTCCCTGTGCTTTCTCTCCCTCCTCTGATGAGGGTTTGGAGCCAGGGCCCTGGGCTCTAGAAGTCGGGGGTGGAGGTGGCGGGATTCTACCTCTTCTTGGTGTGCCTTAGGCTCATCTCACACACAGGTCCCCTGGGGGAGGATCTTGGGCTCTCATGACCTCCTCAGCTTCCCTCCTCCCCACAGATATATCCACCAGCCTTCTGGGCACCAAAGACAATGAAGCAGGCAATGAGCTGATGTTGCTTGATGTCTCTGTGACCCGCAGCCTGGAGGAGCTCAGCCTGGCCTGGCAGGTAAGTGGGTGTATCTGCCCAGCCTCCGGCTGAGGCTCTTCAGGGTTGCTTGCTGTAGAGTCCCCTGAGAGGCAGGTGGCCTGCTGGCTCTGTAGAGGACTTTGCAGGCCCAGGGTTTGGGGGAGTCTTCTGCTGAGGATGTATGTTGGGGAGCCACATGGTCCAGCGGGAGGCCTTAGTCTTGTGTCTGTCCTGCCAGGTGGATGGTGACTACAGGGCCACCGAGAAGACTCAGCAGGCCTGCCCAGGACAGAGCCCCACCTGCCGGGCCTTCTTCCACGACCCCTGCTCCAGCTTGGGGAACTGCTTCCCGGTGGTGAGTGTGAGCCTGGCCTGTGGGGCACAGAGAGCTCTTTCCCCAATCTAGCCTCAGCCCCTCCTCCATGCCACTCCCCAGGGTAGGGACAGTGACTGGGTGCCCGTGATTTCAGATGGACCCTGCACCGTTCTTCAGCCTGTGTGTGCAGGACCCATGTGGCACCTGGGAGCCCCAGACTGCCTGCACCCTGGTGGCCGCCTACATCCACCTATATGCCTGCAGTTTCATGCCCCTGGCCCTTCCTCCACAGTGCAGTAAGCTGCCCCAGCTGGCTGGCACTCTGACCCCTGTCTGGCATCTGCCTTCCAGCCCAGAGGGAAAGCCTGTCTCTCTCTCTTGCCAGGGAGGGCAAATACTCAATTGTCATTCAAGGAGCTTAGAGTCAAAACAAAACATTTACGGCCTGACACAGCTTTGATTTGTGTCCCCTCCAAATCTCACATTTGTTAGAGGGGGTGCATCCCTCCTGGATGGCTTAGCACCCTCCGTTTGGTGAAGTGTGAGTTCTTGCTCTACTAGTTCACATGAGAACAGTTTGTTTATAAAGAACCTGGCACCTCCTCTCTCTCTTTGCACCCACTCTCATTTCTGCCATGATTGTAAGCTTCCTGAGGCCTCACCAGAAGCCAAGCAGATGCTGGAGCTGTGCTTGTGCAGCCTGTAGAACTGTGAGTTAATCATATATCTTATTTATGAACTGCCCAGGCTGGAGTGTAATGGCGTAATCTCGGCTTACTGCAACTTCCACTTCCCAGGTTCCAGCAATACTCCTGCCTCAGCATCCCAAAAACCCACGCACATATTTTTGTAGAGATGAGGTTTGACTGTGTTGGCCAGGCTGGTCATGAATTCCTGACCTTGGGTGATATGCCTGCCTAGGCCTCCCAAAGAGCTGCGATGACAGGCGTGAGCCACTGTGCCCAGCCTCATTAGGGATTTGAATGTACACCACTGTTTAGGGAAAATGCTCAGCCCCCATTTTCCCTCTGCTCTCATACCAATACCACATCACCATCAATACAGAAGATGACTTCTGTGAGCAAATGTGTGGGGGTTTGTTCCCACTACCAGGGCGTCCCTCTAATTCAGTTCTAACACTAGCTGCCTTGAGATAGCATCAGAGCCCACATAGTGAGAGATTCTTCAGCCAGTGCTGCATATGATTGCCATAGCCAAAGCCCCACCTAAGGGCATATAAGTCAGTGGCAATAAGAGGTGTGGACTTTGAAGAGCTTCAGATGCCAGAATTAGTGGCTGCCATTCACAGACATTTAAAACTTAACGAATTCAACAGCAGAAGAGACAATCAATTGGAAAATGTGACAAACGGAGGATGAAATGAGAAGATCCAATATGTTTCAAAGAAATTCCAGGCCAGGTGTGGTGGCTCATCCCTGTAATCCCAGAACTTTCGGAGGCCAAGATGAGTAGATCACCTAAGGTCAGGAGTTCGAGACCAGCCTGGCCTACATAGTGAAACTCTGTCTCTACTAAAAATACAGAAATTAGCAAGGCATGGTGATGTGTGCCTATAATTCCAGCTACTCGGGAAGCTGAGGCAGGAGAAATGCTTGAAACCAGGAGGTGGAGGTTGTAGTATGCCAAGATCTTGCCACTGCATTCCAGCCTGGTGACAGAGTGAGAGTCTGTGTCAAAAAACAAATTCCAGAATGAAGGACCCAGGACGCACAATCCCCAATACAATAAATCCATCCATACCTAGACCCATCAAAACAAAATTGAAGAAAATACAAAGAAAAGGTCCTAAAAGCAACTGAGGAGGGTGGAAAGAAGGAAGAACATGCTCACAATTGCTGTCCCACCAGCAGCAACAGAAGACAATAGAATAATAGAAAATAAGCCTGAGGTTAGAATTTATATCCAGCTCAACTATTACTTAATGAAATAACCTGTCAGTACTGATCTGTCTAGAGATATCTTTACCACAAATGGACACTTACTCAAGGGATACATCCACATGTTCATTTATGTACTGTCTGTGTCTGCTTTCCTGCTACAGCGGCAGAGTATTTGCAAAAGACCATATTTCTGCTCTCTGAAAGACTATATTAGGAAGATGGAAAGAAAAGCTACAGATTGGGAAAAATGTTTATAAACCACCTATCAGACCAAGGACTCATCTCCAGAGACTCATCTCTAGAATGTATAAAGAACTCAAAGCTCAGAAGTAGATCAGGTGCAGTGGCTCACACTTGTACTCCTAGCACTTTGGAAGGCTGAGGTGAGTTGGCTTGAACCTTAGGAGATCAAGGCTGCAGTGACCCATGATCACACTACTGGCTGCATGACAGAGTGAGACCTTGTCTCACAAAACAAAACCTCCAAAGTAAAAAATGGGAAATAAACACATGAACAATGTTCACAATCCCAGCCATAGAGAAACAAGGTAGCGCTACATACTTGAGCTCCAGTGAGTTCCGGCACGGGTTGGTGAGTTCCTGGGACTCCACAGCATAAAGCATTAGTTGAACATCCAAATGGCCAGGTTGTGATTTCAGCGTCCACTTATGAGTGTGCTGTAAAAAGTACCATTCTAGTACCAAAAAAGGTGGTGGCTGCTGAGAATCAAGCTAGGCTTAGAGGCAGGAATCAATGTCATGGTCTACCAACCAGATCCTCTCGGGAAGCAGCCTTGGACTCACAAAGTGCCAAGACAGGAGGTGATGTGGCTCCACGGGAAGCTTGGAGAATCTGTCAATCAAGCAGGAGCACTCGTTGTTTTGAACATGTAAAGACAAAACTGTCAGCTACTACAGCCATCAACAGAACATCTGGGAGGACAAGCAACGCAGAAGATTTATAGCCACAGGGTAACAATGGACTATTATTTGCAGTTAAGGTCCTCTCCCTTCCTCTGAGAGTTTATTTTTTTGAGACAGAGTCTTGCTCTGTTGCCCAAGCTGGAGTGCAGTGGCACAATCTCAGCTCACTGCAACCTTCGCCTCCCAGGTTCCAACAACTCTCCTGCCTCAGCCTCCTGAGGAGCTGGAATTACAGGCATGTGCCACCATGCTCAGCTAATTTTTGTGTGTTTTTAGTGGAGATGGGGTTTGACCATGTTGGCCAGGATCGTCTTGAATGCTGGACCTTGTGATCTGCCTGCCTCAGCCTCCCAAAATGCTGGGAGTACAGGTGTGAGCCAGTATCCTGCCAGGTTTATTTATTTTTTAAAATCAAGGGCTAAATTCTTCCCCTTTCTTGGACACAAGTGAAGTATTTAAGAAAAGCAGTCACCAATTACAGTTAACTTTTGAAGGACAAATTAAAAAGTGATTATAAGTTACAAAATAAAGGCATCTTACAAACTCTAGTAAGAAAAAGAGGAGGAAATTAACACACTTTTTATCTTTTTGAGATAGGGTCTTGCTGTGTCCCCCAGGCTGGAGTACAGTGGTGCAGCCTCTCAAGTAGCTGGGATTACAGGCGTCTGACACCATGTTTTTGTATTTTTAAAAGAGATGGGGTTTCACCACGTTGGCCAGGCTGGTCTCGAACTCCTGACCTCATGTGATCCTCCCACCTCGCACCTGACCAGAGAAATTAAGACATTCTCAGATAAACAAAAGTTGAGTGATTTCATTACATTTGGACCTGACCTGCAAGAAATTCTAAAGGGAGTCCTTCAAGTGAAAACAGAAGGATTCTAAGGTAGAAATTTCAAGCCATGTATAAAGGCCCGTATTACTGTGATTCTGATTCATATCTCTGATTTTAATTATTTTATTAGATTTAAAAGAGATGTGTAACCATAAGCCTATGTTAAATATATAATTTATTTAAAAAAAAAATTAGGCCTGGTGGCATGCACTTGTAGTCTCAGCTATGGAGGATCGCTTGAGTCCAGGGCCTTGAGGTTACAATGAGCTATGGCAGTGCCACTGCACTCCAGCCTGGGTGACAGAGTGAGACCCTGTCTCTAGGAAATAGATATACTTTGTGACAACAACAACATAGGAGGGGGCAGAGCTGTCAAGAAGCAGAGTATTTGTATGTGATTGAACTTACCAGTTTAAAATCAACTGCTATAACTTCATGAGGTTTTATGTAATCCTCATGGTAATTACAAAGAAAATATCTATAGAATGTACACAAAAGGAAATGAGAAGGGATTCTAAGTGTGTCACACAAAAAATCAATTAAACACAAAGGAAGGCAGAAGGAAGGAAATGAGAGAGAAAACAAACCATAAGCCATGCAGAAAACAATCCACAGAGTGGCACCGGGAGGCCCCATAAATGGTGTATTGGAGTCCTCCCAAAGCAACTGCTCACTTAGTCCCTGGGTGTGGGCCTCATGGCTCAGTCACCCACCATGCTAGTGAGTTTCGTCAGATGATAATCTTTAAAAATGCAAATGAATTCCACAATCAAAAGACTGTAGACTTACACATAAGTTGAAAGTAAAGGAATGAAAAAAGATACTCCATGCAAATGGTAACCAAAAAAAAAGGAGGAGGAGCTAGACTAATATCAGACTAAATAGATTTAAGATCAAAAGCTGTTATAAGAGATAATAAAAGTCAATTTACCAAAAAGATGTGACAGTTATAAATGTGCATGCAACGCACCTCAGAGCTCCTAAATACATGAAGCAAACCTGGGCAGAATGAAAGGAGAAACAGACAGTTCTATGATAATTGTAGGAGATTTCAACATCTCACTTTTTTTGTTTTTTGTTTTTTTTTGAGACAGAATTTCTCTCTGATGCCCAGAATGGAGCGCAGTGATGTGATATGGGTCACTACAACCTGGATTCAAGTGATTCCCATGCCTCGGCATCAGAGTAGCTGGGATTACAGGTGTACACCACCATGCCCAGCTATTTTTTAGTAGAGACAGGGTTTCACCACATTGGCCAGTCTGGTCTCGAACTCCTGACCTCAAGTGATCCGCCCCCTCGGCCTCCCAAAGTGCTGAGATTACAGATATGAGCCACTGCACCCAGCCCAATAATTCACTTTCAATAATGGATACAATACCCAGACAGAAGATCAAGGAGGAAATGGGGCTTGAACAATACTATAGATGAATTGGACCTACCAGACATACACGGATTACTTCACCCAACAGCAGAATACACATTCTTCAAAGTACATGTGGAATGTTCTCTGGGAAAGATCATATATTAGGCCTCAAAGCAAGATCTAATACATTTTAAATGACTGAAATCATAATAGCAGGAGGAAAACCGGAATATCCACAAATCTATGGGAACTAAACAACATACTATAAAACTAATGGATCAAAGAAAAATAAGGAAAATTAGAAAGTGTTTTGAGGCAAAACAATGTATCAAATCTTATGAGATGCAGCAAAGGCAGTGCTATGAGGGAAATTTCTAGCTGTACACACTTACATTAAAGAAAGCTGGCCGGGGGTGGTGGCTCACACCTGTAATCCCAGCACTTTGGGATTAAAAACATACTGACTAGAAATAGAAACAACCTCAATGTAATAAAGGTCATATGAACAACCCCCAGCTAACATCATTCTCAATGAAGACAGCGCTTTCCAAGATGAGGAAGAAAACAGTGATGCCTGCTTTCATAACACTGCAGATCCTAGCCAGAGCTTTTAAGAAAGAAAG